GCTGGGAACTCCTATGGTGTCCCCAGCAGGAGGCAGGGGCGGGGGGGGGGGGGGGGGGGGGGGCGGGCCCCCCCCCCCCCCGGAGGGGGGGAAAAAAGAAGTAGGGGGGGGGGGGGGGCTGAGACTGAGGAACTGGACCGTTGGGTGCTGGACTGGGGTGGGGGAAGGTGCTGGTATGTCTGGGTGCTGCAAGAGAGGTTGGGATGCAGGTGTAATCCTCTGTCTTTGCTGCAGGATGAACACTGGAGTGAAAGCCAAAGCTGGGGGGAGTCGCCCCCTGGCTCCCCGCCTGCCCAGCTCCTCAGTGCCAGGGCCTCTTGGGACTCCTAAAAGATCAGGAACAGTGCTCCCACGAACCACTGCTGAGCCCCGAGCTGTGGTGAAGAGGTCTTCAGGGGAACAGGGAGGAAGAGCAACCCCTGTCCCCAAGGTGGCCACAGCCCTATCAGGGCCCCCCAGAACCAGCAAGACAGGCTACAATGTTCCTAGCACAGGTACAGGGGCCCCAGGTCTTGTCTCTTGATCCCCAACTCCACTTCCTGACACTGCTTCTGGGACCTTAAATCTGCCTTAAATCTCTTGGTCCTCCTCTCTGACAATGACTTTGAACTCTACTCCCTGACCCTGCTCCTACTTGACGGTCCCACCCCTTCTAGTCCTTCATTTCTCATCCAAATGTCAGAGACAGTAAAGGGAGGGGAATTTTGGGGAAGCAGATTGGCTTCTTCAAGCCTCCTGAGGTGCCCTCCAGGGCTGATAATGCAGAGCTCCTGGCCTTAGAGGAAGGCCTTTCCTCATCCACTCCCTGTCCCCCCAACCCTGTCCTCTTCCAAAGGTGTTTAGAGGGGTTATGGGAGGACAGAGGAGGTCAGAATTGAGCTGACCTGGAGCTTCTCCCTGTAGTGTCCAGGCAGCCTTTGGTGAAGAAAGCGGAACCAGCCCCAGGTGCTGGCCAAGCCTCCAAGAATGACCCTTCTCCAAGAATGTCCCCTCTTCAGACTGGTCCCTCCACAGGCAGGTATGACCCATTTCCAGATATGGACCCACTCTAGGTATGACTGAGGCATAACACTTATCCAGGTATGACCCCTTCTCTGATACGCTTCTCCCCATGTGACCCTTCCCTAGATAGGACCACTCCAGAGCTGGACCCTCCCCAGGCATGGCCCCAGGCTATTCCCTTCTCCAGATATGGCACACCCCCTCCATATATGGCCCACCTCCCAAACTGGTCCCTCCTTAAGGCCCCTCCTCACATATGACCCTTCCCCAGTAGGACCACCTCCTCAGATATGCCGTCTCACCAGGCTGGTCTCTTTCAGGTTCATAGTCCCTCCCTAGGTATGGCTCCTCTCAGGGGTGAATGTGTCACAGGAAACAGATTTATTTTACAACCTTAGATGCAAATGTATACAAACCATCAGCTTTTGTTCCAGGGAAGGGGGTCAGCCCTAAATGATTCTGGGGGACCCAAGCAAAATTTCTTTGTCTGACCCAGGCTTTCTTTTCCTATCTAAGGCCAGGGTCTCAGGGCTCCAAAGTGTCCACCCCAGCCAAGCAAGTCCGCTCTGCTCCAGCAGAGTCTGCAGTCAAGGCTAAAACACCACTAGCTTCTACCCCCACAGGACGGAACAATGTGGCCCCAGCAGAGGCCAGGAGAGGTAGGAGGGTCAGGGGAATAGTGATGGCATAGGCCTCAGGGCAAGAGGGTGGCGGCCTGTCAACAGTGAGGAGTAGCCAGGGAAGGGGTGTATGGGGAAAGGTCACCAGGGAAGGAGCTGGCTGACAACCCCCCCCCCATTTCAATTTGGGGAAGAGCCAAAAACTACCACCAGGTGCAGGCAAAGGGGAAAGGTCTCGTAGGGTCGTCCAAAATGAACCTCCCAGAGTCCTTTCCTTTGTCCGGTCTCTTCCAGATACTGCTCGACCAGCTCAGGGAGCCCAAGCCTCAAGGACTGGGATCCCTGGGTCACGTCTGCCTGGAGCCTCAGGACCCGAACCAGGGTCTCCGCGGGCTCCTCCCAAATCCAGGGCCCGGCTCTCTCCCCTGCCCAAAGCCACAGCCCCCAGAAGAACCCCCAAGAGCCCTGGGGACCCTGTCTCCAGCCCAGCCTCTGCGGCCAGGAGGAAGTCCAGCGAAGGGTTTATTCAGTCCCGCCTTCCTGGACCCACCCGTCGCCAAGACCGAGCCTCTGCTGCCTCATTGGTCCAGCCCTCTCTTCAGGCCCCACCCTCGAGCGGCTCAGTAATGCGGTCCAAGGGCCCTTCCCTTCCCTCCACACCTCCGCCTAGTCGAAAAGATCAGCAGGCTCCACCCATAGCCCCACCCCCTAAACAAGCCCCTCCTCCTTACTTGCCCACACCCCCTCCAGAAGTCAATCCCTCTCTGTCCACATCTCCCCAGCAGACTCCACCCTCTCTCTTAGCCACACCCTCTCAGCAAACCCCTCCCCCTTCCTTGGCCACACCCCCTCAAGAAGCCAATTCCTCTCTGTCCACATCTCCCCAGCAGGCTCCACCCTCTCCCTTAGCCACACCCTCTCAACAAGCCTCTCCCCCTTCCTTGCCCACACCTCCTCCAGAAGTCAATCCCTCTCTGTCCACATCTCCCCAGCAGGCTCCACCCTCTCTCTTAGCCACACCCTCTCAACAAACCCCTCCCCCTTCCTTGGCCACACCCCCTCCAGAAGCCAATTCCTCTCTGTCCACATCTCCCCAGCAGGCTCCACCCTCCCCCTTAGCCACACCCCCTAAACAAGCCGTTCTCCTTTCTTTGCCCACACCCCCTCCAGAAGTCAATTTCTCTCTGTCCATATCACCCCAGCAGGCTCCACCTTCTCCTTCAGCCACCAGTCCTCTCCAGACCCAGCCTTCTCCCTCAGCCACATCACTTCCTCAGGCTCCTCCCTCTCTGACCACAGCCCCTCAACAGGCCCCACCTTCCCCTCCCTTAGCCACACCCTCCCTCCAGGCCCCATCTCCTCCAGCCACACCTCCTCCCCAGGCCTCTCCCTGTCCTGTGGCCACACCTATCCAGGGTATTCTCATTCCTTCAACCACTTCCACTCCTCAGGACCCGCCCTCTCCTTTAGCCTCACCCTCTGAACAAAGGGCTGACTCTCTCCTGGCCACACCCCTTATGCAGGCCCCGCCCTCTCCCTTGTCCCCACCCTCTCCCCCTCAGGCCACACCTTTTCTGCAGGGCTCTCCCTTACCCGCATGCCTTTCACTGGAGCCACCCTTGTACTTAGCCACGCCTCCTCGCCAGGCCCCTCCCATTCCCTCAGACCCACCCTCTCACTTGTTCCCTTACTCTCCTCCCTTGGCCACACCTCCTCTTCAGTCCTCTCTTTTTCCTTTGGCCTCACCCCCTCCTCAATCTCCTCCCTTTCCTCCAGCCTCACCCCCTCTGCAGGCCCTTCCCTCTTCCCTAGCCCCATCCTTTCGCTTGGTCCCGCCTTCCCCACCCCTGGCCAAACCCCCTCTTCAGTCCCCTCCCTTTCATCTGGCCATGCCTTCTCAGGCGTCATCTTTGGATACATGCCCTTTGCAGCCCCCTCCTCCCTCTCCACTAGCCACGCCTCTTCTCCAGGCTCCTCCCTCTCACCTGGACACATCTCTTGTGCCACCTCCCTCTCCCTTGGCCACAGCCCCTGTGCTGACCCAGCCCCACTTGCAGAATGCGCCTCCTGGGGAGCTGCCCCTTCCCGAGTCTGTCTTGTCCTTGGGAGCTTTGGGTGCGGAGCTGTCCAGAAGCCCTTCCAGTACTCTGAGTGGCCCAGACCTTGCTGGACACAGCAGCAGTGCCACAAGTACGCCGGAGGAGCTGCGAGCCTATGATAGTGGCCCTGAGATAGGGGCCCCAGCTTCGCCCCCACCTGACCCTGACCTCGAACTTGCTGCCTGCCATCCTGCAGTCTGGAGCCGGCCAGGGGTCCCCACCCGGAGCCCCTGTACTACCTCCCCTCGACTTACCCATGGGGTCCCAGGTAACCGCAGCCAGGGGGCAGAGGGAAAGGGCCTGGAGGAAGAGGGCAGCTCTTTCAAAAGGGGATAAGTCTCAACCCTGTCCTTCCTTCCCATAGGTGAGCCACTGCCCTGGTCCCCTATGGCTGGGCCCCCTGATGGCCTGTCCACGATCTATGAGGCAGAGGCCCCTGAAACAGCATTTGGACCCCCGAGCAGGGAGGTACAGGATCAGGAAGAAGAGGATGATCAGACAGTGGAGAAGATGCCTCCAGCCCCTCGTGGTCCCAAGCCAGCTCGAGTGGGTGAGCTGCAGCTGGGAGCATTGCAGGCCAGTGTAGTACAGCAGTTGCTGAGCCGGACCCTGCTGCTGGCTGCAGAGGGACCAGGGGGAGCCAGACAGGGACCTGGCAGTGGCCGTCCAGCTCTGAGTGATGCTGAGCTGGGCCGCTGGGCAGAACTGCTCTCCCCTCTGGATGAGTCCCGGGCTAGCATCACGTCTGTCACTAGCTTCTCCCCAGATGATGTTGCCTCACCACAGGGAGACTGGACTGTAGTGGAGGTGGAGACCTTCCACTGAGATGCATTTGTCCCATCCCATCCAAAGGACTGCTGTGCCCTCTGAACTGAAGGCCCCAGCCTGTCTGATACCGGCATTTTACCTGCTTTCCCATCTGCAGTTCCATAGCAGGGGGAACTGGGCAGAGGGAAAGTCCTGATGATGTTCTAGCTTCCTAACATGCTTCTATCTGAGTCCTGAAAGGGTCTTGGCCTGACAAAACTCCTTGTCAATCCCATGCATTGTATGTATGTTGTAGATTGTCCTTGCTGGTTTGCTCTTGTGGCCCCTAGAGTCTGTGTGTGGTGTGCCTGTGTGTTTTCTGAGGCCTTTTTAGTTTGTAATAAAGATGAGATAGTGGAGCTGTAGCTGCTGTGTTTGGGGGGATTGGGCTGTCTGGAACCTGTGGATCTGGGGTTCCTTACACAGGTTGCATCAAAGCCCTCTCATTTCTGCCGATGGTGATGGTGTGGTTGAACAGGTGGAGAACAAGGCTTTAGGGACAGGTTTCTCCCTTCTCCCTGGGGCGCAGGACCCCCAGGGAGGTATTAGGTGACTCTTTGAGGCAGGAGGACTCTTGTGAGGGTGGGCACTTTGTCCTCCGAGGCAGGGGCCGGCTCACCCCATGCTGCCGACGATGAGTGAGAAGGTTGGAGCTCTGGCTGAAGGATTTTCCACACACTCCGCAGTGATGAGGCTTCTCTCCTGTGGAAAGGCAGAGGGGAACCTGGTGGAAGTGGGGAGGGGCTGGGCAAGGAGCATATGTAAGGGAATGGACATGGGGCTGGACAGGAGGGGAACTATGGAGGTAGGGTGGATAAATCAGTTGTCAGAACTGGGGAGTTATGGGAATATATTGAGGGGAAGATGGAGAATCTAGTGGGAAGTAAAGATGGTAGAATTGGGGTGGTTAGTGGGTAGGGAAAATGAGGACATTGGAGGGTAATGGAGGGGATTGAGGAGCTACAAAAATGAATGTGAGGACCGGCGAGGGTGAAATACGTCTGGGGAGAGATGAGGCTGACAATGGACTGGGCTGTTTTCCAACTTCCCTCCTTGAGTGGGAGATCTGTTGCCGGCTAGGAGGGGAGGGGCAGTCCTTCCGCCATTTCTCGCTGAGACCACACGGTGGCCTTTCCTGAAGCTTGGAAGCTTGCTCCCCCACCCCACCCCCCTCTACCCAGCCCATTTCATCTTCATCTTTCCCGGTCCGCACCGGTGTGGGTGAACGTGTGCTTCTTCATGTCGGATTTCTGGTGGAAGCGCTTGGCGCAGAAGGGGCAGGGGTGGGGCCGCGTGCCCGAATGGATGAGCAGGTGTGTGGACAGAGTGGAGGAGCGCCGGAAACTCTTCCCGCACACGCCGCAGGGGAACAGCCTCTCCTGAGGACAGGACGCGAGCGGTGGAAGAAGAGACAAGGCTAGGGTTCCTCGACACCATCCCGCCCTACCCTAGAGGCAGAAAGCTGGGGCTGGGGCTGGCGCTGGAGTAGATTCTGTCCCTCCGCCCCCCTGTTCTCCTGGGTTACCTTGAATTGGTGAGGGGGCTGTGCTGTGGGTGGTAACAGCAGTAGCTGTGGCTGCAGACTTGGGGAAGTAACTCCTGTCTCAGGCTGAGGCTGGAGCTGGGGCCGGGGGCAGTGACCATCCCAGGAGAGGCTGGCCAGACCCTGGAGCCCTGGGGTTAGGTCAAATGAATCCAGTCAGTATAAGACGCCTAGGATCCGACTGTATGGCAACCTCTCACAATCTCCTTAGCCCACAGCCTTCTGGCTTCCACCTTCTTAGACCCAGGGGAGCTCTTACCAACGAGGTCACCCTCGGCTAGGGCAGGGGACCTCAGGGAGGAGCTGGCTTCAGAGTCTGGGTATAGTGGCCTCTCAGCCCATGTGCCTCCAAGGCTCCCCACAGACGGGGCTGTATCCCCTGGAGTAAAGCCTATACAAGAAGAACCCATCACTCCTTAAGTACTGTGGGAAAACCCAGACATTCTAGCCCTTGACTCTGCTGCTCCTCACCCCGGTCTAAAGTATCCTGGTTCCTAACTCACCACCCCCTCACCACCCCCATCCATGGCTCTTAAATTCAATTTTAATTTGGCCAGTTATCCTGTCCTTATTCTCTGCTCCTCAGTCCTTCTCTTCCTCCAGAACTTGGGCAGCCTAATACCTAGCTCTTCCATGGGATCCCTGCAGGATTCTGGGGCTAGGGATCTTCAGAAAGGACAGGCCATACTTACCAATCATCTTCTTCCTTCCAGAGGATCTCTTGCTTCTTACTAGGAAGGATCGAGGCATCTCAGGGGCTACCCACCATAGGTGGGAGGTAAAAGAAAGCAGGCTAGGATCCAGACATCTTTTACCCCCAATCTGAAGACTCAGGTGTCTAGCCTGGTAACCCCCTTGACTCCTCCCATTTTGGAGATGCTAGTTTAGATTAGCCTGGATTTTTCTGTAGCTATCAGACATTCAGATGTGCCTTGGAGGATGGGAACTGAGGAGAGTTGAGTATCAGGATGCCTAGGGCCATTCTATCTTCTTCCCTCTCCCCCAACATCCTGGCACCAGCTCACTCTGGGATTCTAAAAGGCTTTATCTCGGGAGCTTGTCGTATCTTCCCACTGCTCCCCCCATACTCTGCAAACACACACACACCTCACCCCACCTATTAGCTATGGGAACACACACTAATTGAATTCCCATTGCAAACTACAGAGATTTCCTTCCCAGAAGGAATGAGGATCTAGGTGTCCCTGTCCTCAGACCTGAGCAGGAATGCCAAGGCAGCCCTACCCTAATACTCTCCTCTCCAATTCCTCCCCCCCACCCCCATGCATGCCCAACATACACACCTCTGCCCTCTGTTCTTGGGCCTCAGGGGATATAGACTTACCTTAAACCCCCATAAACACAAAGTAGAACATAAAGCTCAACACAGAGATCTTCTCCACATCTCCACATCCACATACTTTGCCCCCTTACCAGACAAGCCTCATAGCTAACCTCATCTTACCTACACATCAAAGTCCAGCTCCAGTCTCACCTCCACAAAGTCTGTGCTGACCATTCCAACCCAAAGGGTGTTCTCACTCTTCTAAGTCACCAGGATCAGACCTTCCTTTTCTCTGGATTCTGCTGTAAGAATCTCAGAGCTGGAAGAGATCTGAGAGGCCATTTAGTCCAACTTGTACATGAGCCTAAATCCACTCTACAACTACCTTTACCAATGGTTATCCACGCTTCACCTGAAGACCTCTAAGGGGCAGTTCATTCCTCTTAGATAGCTCTAGAAGTTCTTAACCTCCAGTGTGAATTGGCCTCTTTGCAGCTTCTCCTCTAGTCCCGCCTTCTGATACAAAGCCTAACATCTCCAGTGTTTGTCTCCACCCTTGGTTATCACAAACTCTAGGATGCTATGGTCATTTCCCCTTGTGCTTTCTGTAGTCCCATTTCACCCACCAATTAATTCTTCTCGTAGATTAAGATTTGAGTACGGGATTCTTAATGTACAAACTGCCCCCCCCCATGTTTCTTTTTGGACAACACATGATCATCTATGGATGGATTCCTGTCCTGAATCCCAACTTCCTAAGTCTCAATGACACCTATGAGGTTGTACTTGTTTGTGTTAAAATCTCAGTCACTGTCTCTTGCTCAGATTGTGCAATTGATATGGAGTTAACTGAACATAGACTTCATTCTTGATCTTTTCTCCTTACTGAAAGCACTATTCTTTGTGCCATGGTGGGGGGAAACCCTCTGGATTTAGAGCCTAGAGAACCTAGGTTTAAATCCTTTTTCTGCTTCTGAGCAACTTTGAGCAAGTCACTTCACCTCTCAGGGTTCCAATTTCTTCATCAGTTAAATGAGGGTATTGAATGAGATGGCCTTTAGTATTACTTCCAGGTCTAAAGCTTCTGATCATGTCCTCCACATCATATCTTTTTTTTTTTTTAATGGTTTATATGTAGGCATTTTCTTCCTTCCTGTCACATTCCTGTTTTAAAGCTTTGTTGATCAGGCTACTGAGTCCCTCATCATAGATATTTTTCCCAGGCCTGTGAGATGCCTTGACCACAAGCCCATCTTTCTTCTATCTTAAGTGTTGGAAGGCTTCCCATACACTAAGTGAGTCTTCTGTGGAAGACTCGGCAGAAAGGCATGGATAAGAATCACACAAGACAGTGTGAAGGGTTGTGATCTCAATCAGTGGAGAAAGTATCTACACTGATGGGATCACAGATCCACTGAAGTACAATCCATGATCCAGAAAACCAAATAATCAGTGTTTAACTTGGAAAGACCTGAATGTGAAGTATGACTCTTGACATTTATTACCTATGTAACTTTGGCAAGTCATTTCACCTGAGCCTCAGTTTCTATCTGCAAAATGGGGATCACACCAATAGTCCTTATTTCACAAGGCTAGGAGGTTCAAGTGATAATATGTGTGTGTGTGTGTATGTACACACACACACACACCATACATATGTAATATTTTGTACATTTTAAAGTTCCACATGAATATCAATTGTTATTTCTTTTCCAAAGTCCAAACCCTCCGCTGTCAGGAGATGAATTGCCCGTACCCCTAAATCCTTGTTTCCTGTCCAGGACACCAGATTTATTAGGGATGCTTACCTTTCAGGTTTCATCTGAGGGGCTTGTTCATTCCCATATAAATTAGAGGTGGGTTCTTCTCTCCTTATCTCTGATCTGGACTACTGCATCAGTCTTCTAAAGCAGTCTCCTTCTAGTCTCTCCCTTCTGTATTTCATTTGCTAGATTTATCTTCTTAAAGTCTAGCTCTGTTCATATCATTCCCCATCCCTAGAGGACCAGCATGAAGTCCTACATAATGTCTTGAATTTGCTTTTCTAGTCTTATCTCCTATTGCTCCCAATGACTAGTCACATTTATCACTCCACTTCCACCCCATCACCCAAGATAACACACACATTCTTAACTCCTCTGGCTTTGGTTTTGCAATTTTCTTCTCACCTTTCCAATTAACTAAAATTCTACCTATCTTGCAGAGCTCAGTTTAAGTCTTACCTCCTCCTGGAATCCCTCCTATCCATTCCACCTTCGGTGGTCTCAACTCTCACAAGCTTCTTCTGGTTCTTATTTTTCCAGTGTCTTCACTCAGTTATATTGTCCAGAAGCTACTTAAGGACAGGAGTGAAACCTCATTCTCCTGTGTTCCCCTAGTACATTATGTTTGGTGACTTTAATGACACCTACTCACACAGGAGCACACTGTCTTACCCCACCCACACATCCTTCTTCACACCCACACAAAACAGTAATATATACAAACACGTCATTCACAAACCTCATCTCCCTATCACACACATACCCACCCCTCCACAGCCCGAGTCACCACTGACTTCAACCTCAGCCCCTAAAGGATCTCATCTCACCAAACCACATGCTCAGTCTTGCCAATCTTATCCCTTCCCACTTCTGAGTCAGGACTTAAAGCCACACTGAAAACTCCATAGCAGTCAAGCAAGCCCTGGGAACCCAAGGGTTTGGGATGAGGTGAGAAAAGGCTTTCCTTAGTTTGTGTGCCACTTCTCCTGATGGCGTCTGAGTTCTCAGGCTCCGTCCTCTTTTTTTTCCCTGCTGGCATTCAAAAATCCCTCCCTCCACAGGCATACTCTGTCCTGAAAGAGAATTTATTCCCTAGTACTTCAGGGGAATGAAAGCAGCCCTGTCTCTCTTGCTCCCTTCCTGCTGTCTGCTATTAGATGAAAGACTGAGGAAGGGAAAGAACCCCAAGCTGCTTTCATCTAAGCCATGAAGCTCAGGCCTCCCTGGTCAGTCTTCATCTCACTTTGCTTAGGTTAGGATTCTCTCCCAGCAAACTCCACCACTGCCCTCAACCCCCCTCCCCAACATCCTACCCACCAATTCTAAGACCGTGTAAATATGCTTTATTATTTGTCTTTCCAACCTTGTGTGAAGACACATGGGTTCGTACAGGCAGTGTGAGATGGTGGTGGGCAGAGGGGGGAGGTGGAGGCCATACACTTACACCTGACAGGACATTGCAGAGCAGGCCAGACACCTGCAGAATAGCAGTCACCCTCAACTACTTCTGGTCTCAGCACAGAGGACAGAGCCAGTTGGAGGTGATGTTGTGTATGTGTGTGAGAGAAAAGGGATGGAGTAAAGAGAGTGGGAAACCTGCCCCACAGGGGCTTTCCTATTAAGTATAGATCAGACTATTTGCTTCTGATATCAGCTAAGAGGCAGGGGCAATGGTGGCAGGGGTCAGGAGATAGCTTTGGGAGCACCAATGTGGTGGGCTGCCCTGGAGCCATGAGCCCTCAGTGACTGGGGGAGGACAAGAGAATGAGGTGTGAGGAATGAAAGATAGGGCAGATCCTCCTGCAAGGACAGGGAGAAGGACAGAGAATAACACTTAGGGTATAGTGTGTGTGTTTGAGGGGAGCATGCCCCCAGAGCAGCTTTAAGTAGACACTTCATGGATTTTGGCACCTAAGTTCAGAGCCCGAGGGGGAGGAGTCAGGGATGAAATGGAAGACCAGAAGTCTTATTCTCCAGGGAATATGGCACTTCTTCCTTCCATGGCCACAGGCACAAATTCTACAAGCAGGTTCCTAGGACAGGGCCTACCAGGGAAACATTTCTATTCCTCTTTTCCCAAATTCCTTCTCCTCCTAGGTGGCTTCTTGTGGGTTGGCTGACCCGCTTGGAGTGAAGGGGGAGGGTACACAGGGGCACAGATGGGTGCTGAATACTGATATCATACTGCAGGGAGAGACAAACGGGATAAGACACTCAAGTGACAATTCCCCTTCCCCCCTTCCCTCTAGGGTCTGGTCACCATCTGGCTATGAGGAAACCTGGCAGCACCTTTAATGTTGGCAAAGAAAAGAGACACCAGGAAAACCTTAGAAAGCAAAGTGCTGGGTGGAGGGGAAGAGGACTGCTCCATGGGGGGATGAGCAGCTCTGGATGGTGAGGGAGCTCCATGGTCTGAGGCTATGACGGTCAGAGCCTTCTCTAGCTCAAGGGGTGGCTAAAGCAGTTTCTCCCTTAGCTCAGGAGCCAAATGAGGATTCCTTCTTCCCACCTGTGGCCCAAAAAAATCCTCCTCAGACCTCTGGGCACCTGGTTGGGACTAGTGGCAGGTGGGTGGGTGGGTGAGCTGCTCAGGATTAGCAGATACTTCCAGACATTCTCTTAGATATTTGCTCCCCAGACCGGGATGACTTTGGTTTTAGCGAAAAAAGGGCCTGTTCCTCCAGGGGCACTGACCCAGGTACTGGCTTGGCTGATGGCAAGAAGGGAGTGGTGGAGAAGAAACAATATGGTGAGAAAATGGAATTGGCACAGGGAGGAAGAGGCAGCGGCTAATGGAAGGCACAACGCCCAAACCGACACAGGGATGGCCCCAAAACCACCTCTCCTGTTCCGAGGCCAGTCCTTCCACCTCATGGGCTACAAGGGGATGGCCTGGGAAGGAAGGAGCTAGTCACTCAGAGTATGGACATGCCTGGGCCAAGGAAGGCCCAGCAAACAGATGAAGCTGGGTGGCTTGTACATCCTGCATCTTCAAGGGTGTAAGCCAGCCTCTTCTGTCAGCCCAACGAAAGGAGGAGACCATAGCTCAGGGGCAGCTGGTGGTTTTTACATCACAGAAAAGAGAGTCCTAGTCTTGCTTTGACACCAAGTTATAGCTCTGTGAGGCCTGTGGTCATGACCCATCTGTCATGACCTGGCTTCTTTTTTTCTTAGGAGAGAATCTTTTACTCAGGAATCTTGCTTCCCTTGTCAGATCTGCTAATGGCTGAATCCCGCCCTCCCCCCAACTCCCCCACCAGCCCCTAAATGAGGAGGTGCAGAACTGGCAGGCAGGGATGTGGTTAATCTGAAGCATCTCCATGGATGTGGTGGGGCAGGAAGGTCTATGTGTCCTTAACTCTCAAGTCCCTGGAGAAGACAGACAGTCTAATCCTAGGAATGGAGGCAGAGAAGTTGTGGCAGTTGCCACAGAGAAGGCCAGTTCTGATCATTGGTCCTCTATGCCCCTCCTCGCCCCAGTGCCTGTGCTGCTCTCTGGGAGGGAACGGCAGTGCTTTCTGGTCCTGGGCAGTCAGGGATGGGGGAGGAGAACAAAGCAATCCTCTTGTAGATAAATAAATAACATTGGGAACAATCAGAAACTTAGAGACCACATAAGTGTTCGGAGGGGGAGGGGAGCCTGTGACTCCTAGAGCCACAGCATCCTCCTGTCTCCCAGTCCCTGCCCTAGAGAACCCCTGAAAGGAATGAGGGTGGTGGGAGATGGGAAGGGAGCCATAGAATGGAGTCGAGTTTAAATACAGTGAATCACAAGCGCCCTTGGGAGAGGGCAGTGTAGACAACACTCAAGGTAGATGTTCTGATGCCCTCTGTGGAGGGGCTAGGCACACCCAGATGTGCCCTACTCCTCCTCATCCCTATGAGGAGGGGACATCCCCTCCAGGAAGTACGCTGGATGGAGGTTGGGGAGAGCCTGCCCTCCTACCCCCCTGAACATGAGAGGTCTGAGCCCCAGGTGGGGCGAGCTAGGGAGGCAGTCATTCCTCAGTTACCCAGGCTTTGGCCATAGGAAGGGGCCAGCTCATCAGCTTCACTGTCCGTGCTGCCTTCACTGTCCTTGGCTGGGCGGTCCAGTCGTCGGAAGAACCGGGCATCTCGGGGAGATAGAGGATATAGGGCATCCTGGAGGGCTGCCCCCACCCCTACGCCTACACCCAGGAGCTCCTCATCGGAGGAGGGCAGCGAGTCCTCATCCAAATGACGTACCAAATGGAGGCTGTCGAATGCCAAGGGGTCCTCAAACGGGGGCGGGCCCTTCAGTAGCCGAACCTGGGAGATGGGGGGAGTGGAGATGAGGCTGGGAAGGAGGTGGACCCGAGGGATCCAAACCCATATTAGAGGGGAAGATTGGAAGATAAGCTGTGGCCAGGATGAAATGGGAGATAAAGGGAATGCTAGAGAGGGCTGAGGGGGATGGAGATGGAGGAAACAAAGGAGATGACCAAGGGACATGGAAGGGAAACAGAAAAAGAGGGAGGGAGCAAGACCCACTGGATGGCAGGAGGAGGGATGGCTCTTTGGTGGAGAACACAGAGCAGGAGGAAGGAGTGGACCATTGTGGCCCCACCAGCGAGACGGCTGTTACCGGGTTTGAGGGGAAGACCAGGGGCCAGCCAGATTGGGGGAGGAGTGATGGGGATCAGGCAGAGGGCTGGTAAGATTCTGAGGAAACAGTCTTCCACCTTAGCCCAGCCCTGATTCACCCAGACACCAGAGCCTGAGAGGGAGGCTCTGTGGGAGGGGGAGTTACCCTGGGCTCTGATACGGAGGGGTGGCCTGTGGGAGCCTACAAGTCCCAGCATGCAGTGCGTCGCCTCGATCCAGCTGCCAGCCTGCCCAGGGTGAGAGACTCTGCTCGGATCAAGACAAGAGTTATGGGGCAGGGAGCTCCTGTCCTGACGTGGGACCCGCGCGTGGGCCTGAGACACCAAGCACAGCTAAGGAGCCCACATCGGGCCGTCCTGCCTCATGGCCTCCCTTATTTTCTCCCTGACAGCCTGGGCCCTTCCAGCTCTGACAGCTGGCCCCTCTCTCTGACCTCTCTAGGCACTGATCGTGGCCATGACTGGGGGCTCTGCAGATAGCCAGCTCATGGAATGGGGACCTAGAGAGAGAACATCTGGGAGACATTGCCTTCTCGGCCTCCCCCTGCAATTCCTGCCATCACCCCCTCCTGCAGGCACAACCCTGTGTCTGCTCTAGAGACAATAAAAAACCGAAACAACAGCAATGCGTGATCATGATGGAAGATGGCTCACAGTTCCAAACTTTCCAGCGAGCTTCCACCTCCATCGTCTCAGCTGACCCTCATACTACTTCTGGCCAGCAGGGATTCTTCCTCCATTTCACAGATTAGGAAAACTAAGGTTAGGGAAGAGGAAGGGGCTTCTATGCCCATGGTCACCCACTGAGGCGGTGGCAGAGTCAGGAGCATAATTCCAATCTCCTCGTTATCAGGCCAGGGGCTCCTGCCACTCATTTTGCCACAGGACCCATCCACTGGTAAGAGGTTTGGATGATGGATGCCCTGTTCTCTGTCTGGGTCCAGAGTCCTGCGATTTGCCCTGGGGTAGCTAGAGCACTCATTCAGGGAAAGTCTGACTGTTCTTTGGAAGACTACAAATGCACTTTGCTCCTTTCTTAGCAAAGCATCTGGGAAATTTGCCAACAAGTCCAGGGCCCTGGGAATGTCTCTCCTGGGCACATTAGCTTATGCCCTGGCATAAAGGGGGAGGGAATGGCTGGTTTCCCTTCTTGGAATGCCAGAAGGCAGACGTGCAACTTGAGAAGTTCAAGCTTAGGGCAGGCCTGGCACTCACCTCGGCCTTGAGTTCATCAATCTGATCCTTGAGCTCACGGATGTACTGGGAGGAGTCCGAGTGGTTGAGCTGCCCCTGAATCATACCCTCTTCCCTCTGTAAGACAAAAACGTGCCCCATGCCAGGTCGCTGAATGGAGAGCGGAGGAAAGAGGAGACCGGGGCTTCCCCACATCAGCCTTTCCTCTTGGGTCACATCCTCCGGCGCTGGCTTTGGTCCCTCACCTGAATCTCCAGCTCTGCGATGCGCTGCCTCATCTCCGCTACAGCAGCCATGCTGTCTGCCTCTCGGAGCCTTACTGCCATCACCTCCTCCTTGCTCTGGAGGGGCAAAAGCAGCAGGAAAGCATAGGAGCTGATTCAGGGGAGGGAGGCAGGAAGG